TCCTGCTCCCCATGTGCCTTCCCATGCCCTTATTTGGTTAGTTTCCTGTTCCTGTCCTGATTAGTTTAGTTCATTTGTCCCAGGTGTTTCCCTTGATGTTTCATTGCTCCCAGGTGTGTCTCGTCATCCCCTCCTCCTGTGTGTGTGTATAAATAGTGTTCCCAGTCCCAAGTTCTCTGTCCGCTGTTGAACGTCTTCCTGTGTTCGTCTCCCTTGGTGCAAATAAAGTCTTGGTAAAGTATTCTCCAGCGTCTCCTCGTTCCTCGTGTGTGTGCAACGTGACAATATATTAACTAATGATCTGTTAAGCATTATATAATGTCTGTTAATGATTTATAAATGAAAGTTACTATAAAGTGTTACCTTCAGTAAAGAAACACTCAGCCATGATTGAAATAACATAGGAAATTAAAATGGGTCATTTTAGAAATGTGTGTAAAATTGATGATGAAATACAAAAACTCTGTTTATAAAATAAGAAAGGAAAAATAAGCATAATACCTTGTGTAAGTCAAAAACAAGACATTTCAAGAATATATGGAATAATAAATGGTAGAAAAAGATTTCTTTCAGAGATTCAGCAAAGAAACACTCAAATTTAAATAATACTGGTCATTTTAGACCCATGTTGTGCATTAGAAGGGTGGTGACACAAAAACTATTTTTATTCAAAAAGTAAAGGGAAAAAAATAAAAATAAGGATTTGTGATGTTCAAAAACAAGTTAACTGAGGAATTCCTGGAATTCTGAATGATGAAATTAATTTCTTGCAAAGATATAGAAAACTTAAGCTCAGTCGGGTCACTTTACACCCATGTTGTGCATCAACGGGTTAAATTAAGTTCATCCTGATTATTTATACATAAAATAAAATATTAAACATTTTCAGATATTTTCACTGAAAACAAGTTTTATTCATTATGCTATGTTTTCTCTCTAGGGGTCTACTGGCAATCAAGGCGCACAAGGACTACCAGGCAAAGATGGACAAATGGTATGGATACTTTCCTCTTAATTTTCTTAACTATAGACCTTTTTCTTCGCTTCTCCATGGAGGGCGCCATAGCGGCGAGTGACTTCCTGTAGGATGCTTTGAACTTCCGTTTAGTAATTGTCATAAATTAGTGGTTATGGCGAATCGTGGAGGCTCTGGGAAATTTTGTGCTGTTAAAGGCTGTCACAACAGCTACAGAAAGCTCAACAATTTTCTTGATCAAGAGTGTTATGAACACAAGCCAACAATAAGAGCAGAATGTAAATGCCCAAGACCTTTTAAATTGCACAAGACGCCTTCCGACGACGAGAGTAAAAAGACAATGGCTCGCAGCACTTAATTTGAAATGTCCGCCCCGTAACGTCCATGTATGCTCATTCCACTTTGTGGACAGACAACCAACGACAGAAAATCCATATCCCGAAATTTGGCTTGGATATGATCGTCCATTAAGAAAGAAGAGAAGACGACGAACGTGTCCAGACGAAGGTGAGATTATTCACTACATTATTTACGCGGCTAACGTGCTATTAGGTCTGCACAATTAATTGAAATGCAGCTTATGATACAGTCTTTTCTGTATGTTTCATTTTACCAGCTGCAACAGTATAGGACCTTAAGGCCTGGTTTTACCAGACATGGCTTAGACTAAGCCAGGATTAAGCCATAGTTAAATTAGGACATTAAAGTAATTTTTCATAAACGTGCCTTAGAAAAAAAAACATTACTGGTGTGCATCTTGAGACAAAACAAAGGCACTGATATATTTTAAGATCAGTGAGTGCAAGTTTCTTTCAGTTGACAGCTCAGATTTACATTTTAGTCTGGGACTAGGCTTAAGCCTTGTCTGTGAAACCGGGGGGTAAATGTTCACCATATTGCAGCTCAAATCACAACATTTAACAAAATAATACCTAAAAGTATTTGTTCATTAACTCATTTTGGTTTACAAAATGTGGAAAGTCAGCATAGTGCTAAACTAAAATTCTGCATTATTATATCCTAAAATGAATTCGTTTATTCATTTTTAGTAATTAACAATTAAAAAAAATAATTCTAAAAATCTAATATAAAAATCACCCTTTTCGAAATAGAAACTCACCCTGTACCATATAATAACCCAGCTAATTTTAGATGCTTCATTGTATAATGCCTTGTCTGTATTTACAGGAGCTGTTGTTTACCAAGAGCACCCTGGAATGGACGAATTGAGACCTGTAGAAGAGAGTCTTGCATCTGTCCCCAGTCCCAAGCAATCAGATGTTGATGACCACAGCTGTACATCTAAAACATAGCCTCTGTTGGAACACAGTGGGAAGACCACATTTTCGAGGAGCATTGTTACATCAAGAGACAACACAGTGTAACTTATGTAAACCAGTCAACGCAGTGCGATACATTCAAGCCTCCTACTCTGATGAATGACTATGACTCAAATCTGTACACCGGGCTCCCTCTCCACACATTTCATACCCTTGTAGCGGTTCTGCGTCCCCATGAGAATCTGGCTTACCAGACCGAAATTGAGCAGCAAATCTTGCTCACACTAATGAAGCTGAAATTAAACCTATTGATAGAAGATCTAGCCATTTGATTCCGTATATCAGTGAATAAAGTGAGCAAGATCATTTCTTTTTGGATTGACACCATGGCTGTAGTCTTGAAGGATCTGATACCATGGCTCCCCAAAGAAACAATCAGGGCCACAACACTAGAGGTATACAAGCAACATTATCCCAATGTTACCTGTATTTTAGACTGCAGTGAAACTGAAGTCCAAAGACCAGGGAACCTAGACTCAATGTCTGAATCGTACAGCCACTACTATGCTTGCAACCACACTATTTAGTGGCTATTGCACCATTTGCTCTAGTAATGTTTATATCTGCAGCATATGGGGGACGCTGTAGTGGCAAATTTATCACACGTGATTCTGGCATTCTTGAATATCTCCATCCAGGAGATGAAGTGATGGTGGACAGGGGTTTTTTGATTAGAGACTTGTTGTTTGAAAGACAAGTCAATATGATAATTCCTCACTTCGCCAACAAAACGCAGCTGACAGAAGAAAAAGTCACATGTAGCCGCAGGATTGCAAATGTAAGGATACATGTTGAACGTGCAATTAGGAGACTGAAAGTATACAAGGTGTTATCACAAACCTTGCCTATCACCCTTATGCCAAAGATAGATACAATTCTGCGTATATGTGCAGCTTTAGTGAATTTGCGTGGTGATCTGATCCATGAAGCAGATAATTAAGTTATTTTAAAATGAAATTTTGTCTTAATTTATTCACCCTCATGTTGGTCCAAACCTGTATGAGTTTTTTTTTTTTCTTCTATTGAGCACAAAAGATTATTTATTTTGGAGAATGTTGGTAACCACACAGTTAATCGTAACCAATGACTTCCATAGTCTTTTTTTTTCCCACTATGAAGTCAATGGTTACAGTCAACTGTCTGGGCTTCGAGCTATTGCCTCTTTCTCACTTCCATACGTTATAGCCGCATTACCCCGAAAGGTAGGAAAGAGATGCTCTCTCATGAATTTATTAGGATTTGTTGTTGCTCGTACTGGTACACCTTTAGCTGAACTAGCAGTGATCCTTAGCTGTCTTGCACTATGTCAAAATCTCTCCATGTGGCTTATGGAGTTCTAAGCTGTCAGTGTCATCTGCTTGCACTGATACACTGGCATTGTAGCATTTTCCCCAAAGACTGTTTTTTAATTCAAAAAGTGGTTTTGTGTCTGAAGAACTGACTCTCTCCCTGAAGTCTTGATGTGTGTCATAGCTTGGTGTAGATGGTAGCCTTTCTCCCTCCCTTGTTGATGACGCACCATATACATCATCAGCATGATATTAATAAGGTGTGAGGTTTTATTAACATGTACACCTACCACAACCCTAAACCTACCCTTACAGTGGGATAAATACAGTGTTGGTAGCATAATCTGATAGGTAGCATTATTTGTCAGAACACGGCACTTCTTTTTTTCCACTTCAAGCACTGCACGTGTTTAGCCACAATAGAAGTGTTGCGCTATTTATAAATACCCACCTTTCACAACACAGCAGCAGCATGGCTACAAGACCTGCCGGGGCCAGCTACGCAGGAGCATCCAGCTGATTCCACTACTCCGTTATTTTGTAACATAACCCACGCGATGTGATTTGGTTTATTTATAGCCTGACTCAGCTCTACCTCCACTTTCAGTAATGTGAACTGCAAATGTTTATGGCAAAGAATTCGTCCAATTTTGTTACTGTGTAGATAACTGTATGCCTTGGTACTTTTATCATTTCTAAGTTCCTCGCCATCCACACCCTCAGACAAAACAAGGTAACTGAATACGTCAACATATGTGACTGCTGGCCATTGTTTCATATCATCAATCCAGGAGGTGTCACTGGTCCACTTCGTAGGATGAGGAACAGACAAAGTTACATTGTTTACGGTCTTTGTTAAATAGTCTTGATCATGCTGCCACCGCGAACTAATGTTGCCGTTGCTTGTTGACATTATGGACGTTAAAAGTAAGTAAAACAGATTACAACCGTCGTTTCAGAGCTGTCCAAATAACTCTGTAACGCCTAACTAAACGCATCAAGCTGCAACCGGAAGTTCGAAGCATCCTCCATACGCGTACGCGCAAAGCATAATGGGTAATTTCGCGTTCCATGAAAAAGGTCTATACAATATAACAAAATTCAGTATGGCAACCTTCAGAATGCAAAGGACACTTTGAGTATAGTATGTTAAAATTAAACAGGAAACAGTAATCTGCAAAACATTACAAAAATTTGACATGAAATGTTACGCTTCCGTATTCAGATGTATAAATTACTTTTCAAAAGTCTGAGGTCAGTATGTTTTTATTACATATAAAAGAAATGAATACTTTTATTTGGTAAGGGTGCATTAAATTGATCAAATGTCACAGCAAAGACATTTATAGTGTTATAAAGATTATATTTCAAATAAATGCTGTTCTTTTTAACTTTCTATTAATCAAAGAATCCTGAAAACATGCATTATGGTTTCCACAAAAATACTGAGCAATTTAGCTGTTTGTTTTTTTAAACAATGATAATAATAAGAAATGCTTCACATCAAATCAGCATATTAGAATGATTTCTGAAGGATCATGTGACACTGAAGACTGGAGTAATGATGCTGAAAATTCAGCTTTGCGTCACAGGAATAAATTACATTTTTAAATATATTCAAACAGAAAACAGTTATTTTAAATTGTAATAATATTTTACAATATTACTGTTTGTACTGTATTTTTATTCAAATAAATGTGGCCTTGGTGAGCATAAGAGACTTCTTTCAAAAATATTTTAAAATCTTACCCACCCAAAAATTTGAAACAAAATTTGAAGAATAATAAGACAATTAAATAATAAAAATAATTAAATGACAGGCAAGAAAAAAGCACTCTCTTCAGCCAGAAATATAAAAAATTATCTCTTTAAATATCACAGCAGTATGTGCTTTTTGCATTATCTGGACTATAATGGGCATATTTCACTGTTAGGCAGAAAGTAAGTGCAGTTAAAGAAATTTCGCGTTCCATGAAAAAGGTCTATAGCATAAAGCTTCCCCTTTTTATTTCCAGCTCTCTCTGTTCTCAAAAACGGGTGTTTTGTTTGTTTGTTTTTATCTTTAAATTTAGTGCACTTTTCATTCAGGATAATTTTGGTCACTGCTTCTCTGTGCCTGCCACTGCCTGACCAATAATGCTTTGTAGTATTATTCTAAGACTGTTTGCGTAAACAGTGACTTTGGATCTGTACTGTACCTCAGCTCTTCACTGGATGTGTTCTTAGCCCACTTCATATCTATAGTTCCTCTGGGATAATAACTAATGAACAGCTGGAGTTTTTTTTTTTGCATGACCTTGGTTATTGAATATGTCCCTGTACTGAAAAGTACTGATATAATTTTGGAATAAAACATGATGTACTTTTTAGGGAGTTGCTGGTTTGGATAAATAAAACAATAACTTCACAAATCAAATCTTTTAATGGCTTGAACAGCAATTCAACCTCATTTTTTTGTTATTTTCCAATATTCTATATTGCATTAACTGACCTACTGTCTATTTTAGGGAGAAAAAGGGAGTAGAGGCCCTGCTGGTCCACCTGGATATCCAGGAGAGCTTGTATGTTTACCATTCAATCATTTCTCCACTTCAATTTTGTAAGTGGTCAGTCATTATGCTTTAATGCCATTTTTGTGTGTTTATCAAGGGAGCACCTGGCAGGGATGGGAAAGATGGAATTCCTGGAGGAATTGGTCTAAAGGTCTGTACTTATACAGCTCTTCTCTGTTTAATGGCTTCCTTGAACTGTGAACATGGACCATTGAGAATATTTGGCAAGCCCATTCTGAGAAGGCCAAACAGGATTCCAAGATGCAGTATTATTTGACAGAATTGCATGAAAAAATATGCTAGTACAGAATCTCCTTATGGAAAGCCATAAAAAGGTTTGCACCATCGTTTCCTCTTTCATGCTGATCTACGCTGTCTTTTTCCATGCTTACAGATGGCTTTTATTAAACCAAGCTGTTCGTCAACATCATGGTGGTTGCCTATATGATAAATCCTGGATTATTTGATTAGTTTCAGATCTTTAAACATGCACTACTCCCTTAAAGTTCATGTTTACTGTTTACTGTGCACTGTTTAAGATTTATTACATCTTAATCATAAGTCATGAGAAACCAAAAAACACACTGTTGCTGCCTTAATGTTATTGCCAGCAGATTCAGTGGCATGCCATTTTTGTTCAGCATCCTGTTTATTGTAAGTAAAAAGATGGATTTGAAGTTAAATGTTCTCAGTATTGTATGCATGCAGAATATGCTCAGTGTTATTTGCATGAAAAATTCCAACAAGTTTCAAACACTCCCGTCCCCCGTTAAAACAACGAGATGCGGTGCACATTTACTCTGACTATATGATCTTTGTCTCTTCAGGGAGATCCGGGACCGCCTGGAATTCCTGGAGTAGATGGAAGAGAGGGACATCCTGTGAGTATATCTTAAAACAGCTAAGATCATTTCCAGGTGTTTTAGTGGGTGGACCGCATTGAAGAGCAAGCTGTTGAATAATACCAGACCTCATTTAAGCAGAGAAACTCATGAGGAATACTCCCTTTTTACTTCATCCAGTACAATGCTCCAGTTTGGCTGAATGAATTTACATGATTTGAAGTCTTATTGGTGGTTAAGTCTTTGCACCTGGACTGGGCAGAAGAAAATTTCAATGTATCCTGAGAAAAAAAACTGTGAGTGACTCAGCAATGCAGTTCAGCAGACTAGCGCTGAACTCATCTTTAGAGAAACGGGTCTAAGAGCCATAGATTTTTATAGCTCTATTGGGAGAATGTTTCAAGTATAATGAAAGCCAGCTAACTAGAGCCATCTAGCTGGTTTTGGGACAAATAGCAAACAGGCCAAATATGTAAAATGCATTTTCTTTAATTTTAGAATATCTAGTTCATTGGCAGCATTTGTTTTAGGACAGAGATTTTACATTGAACATTTTACATTAATCATACAATACTAACAAAAATGTCCTTGAAACCAAATATCTACTTTATAGAATTATCCAATAATCATCAGCAATATTTTATCTCATGCTAAAAGCCTTACATACAGTACAAAAGTGGCCAAAAGTAATGTCCGGAGAGGATATTTGCTTTTTAATACCCTACAAGTTTGATTAAACAATCAAAATTTGAGGAGTATGTTATATTGGAAAGAATAAAATGTTAAACTTGGTTAAGTTGTTTAAACTGAAAGAAAAAAAAAAGGCAAAAAGGCAAACTACAGCTAGAATATCATGGAATATGTTTTTTTCAGTTATTATTTCATTGGTTCTCCCTTGTTTTTGATTACAGCAGCTGCATTACTCAATAAGCTTTGTCCATATGTTGTGTGTAATTTCTTGCAAAGTGTTCCTATAGATTTCTCACAAATCTGATATTTATTCATCAGCTTTAATTCAAGTTTCATCAGCTTTGATTCAAGGTTTTCATTTAGATTAAGGAGCACTATTCCTTGGTGGCTTTGTTGTGTGTGTGGTGTGTTTGGGATCATTATTGTGTTAGATATTACACATTTGATCTCCAAACAGATCCTCCATAATCACCTTGAAGTGTGAGGTAAAACTGGAGGTTCCTGAAAATTGCACGTTTCATCCAAGACTTTGGAAGGAATATTGAAGCAGTCATACATTGACATAACTTTCAACCTCCTGTCCAAAAATTGACTAGTCTTCTTTGGTCCAGTGCTTCTGCATGGTACCTTGTCACAGTGCTCTGAAATAAACCTGCGCAGTACACAATATCCTAAGTGTATTGACCAGATTTAGCCATTTTTGTAATATCCTGCTTGGCTGCATGAGGACAGCTCCTTCCCCCTGGCCATTTTCACTGAAACCCACATTATAATGTTGGTAGCACTTTATTTTACAGTACGTGTACTTCCCTGGCTGGTACATACATGGTAAATATCTTGTACCTACAGGCAAATGAGTAGTAACATAAGGTACTTACCTGAAGTGTATGGTAACAAATAAGAAACACGGCTGTACTTAACAGTCGTACATGCATGGTAATTAGTTTGTACATACAGACAAGTGTGGGTAATAATGGTCACTTACAGGTAGTGCCCGTACATGGTAACTAATTAGATAATTTACTGTACTTACTAATGTATATACATGGTAAATATGTAGTACTTACGGACAAGTGGGTACAAACAGGCACGTCCTAACAGTATCCGTATATGGTAACGAACAAGACACATAACTGTACATACTAATGATATGTACATAGTAAATGTGTAGCACCTACGGAAAAATGTGGTATTATGTGGTAACAAACATGGTAACAAAAGGTAACAAGGTAGGGCTGTGCAAAAAATCGAATGCGTCAGTGAAGCCGCTTCTGTGATTAGTAGTAAATCTCCATCACGTGCTTTCAGATGAAGCGGCATTTACTACACAGAGCCGTAGTTCACTGACAAGCTACACAAAATCGCGTTCATAATCGGCAATGAATCACCTGCGATTTTGAACGCGATTTTGCGTAGCTTGTCAGTGAACTACGGCGCTGTGTAGTAAATGCCACTCCATCTGAAAGCACGTTCTGGAGATTTACTACTAATCACAGAAGCAGCTTTACTGACTGAAACGCATTCGATTTTTTGCACAGCCCTATAACAAGGTAACTGTCAGGGTTGCCTTCTGGGACAAGACAAAGACGAGGATAAACTCAAAACGGCAGTCTTTAATAAACAATCCAAAGGGGTAACACAAGGCAGGGCGAGACTCACATGAAGCACAACATCGCCGTATAATTCCGGACAAGAGAAATTCAGAAACACAGGGCTTATAAACACATGAAACGCAATCAGGGAGAACAGAAACAGGTGATGAGTAATCAAGGATAATTAATAGAACACAGCTGAGACAAATAAACATAATCAGGGCAAATAAGGGAAAACAAAACAAAAACAGAACATAAACGTGAGAGTAACAAGGTAACAAAACTACACATTTACCATGTACGTACCATTAGTATGTACAGTAATGTGTCTTAGTTATTTACCATGTATATACATTAGTAAGTAAAGTAAAGTAAAGTATCTAATTAGTTACCATGTACGGGCACTACTTGTAAGTAACCGTTATTACCCACATTTGTCTGTATGTACAATCTAATTACCATGCATATATGACTGTTAAGTACAGCCGTGTTTCTTATTTGTTACCATGTGCATACACCTCTGGTAAATACCTTGTGTTACCACTCATTTGCCTGTAGGTACAAGCTATTTACCATGTGTGTACCAGGGAAGTACATGTACTGTAAAATAAAGTGCTACCATAATGTCTAATAATATAGCTAACACCTCCCACAGTGACTGACTGAATTAAAGATTGGGAATAATGAGTACAAGCTTTGTGTGTCAGCTTTCGCATCATCACAAATGAAACAATTGAAATGTGGAGCATTTACATTTAGTTTTACACTCCAAGCACAAATGTGCAATATGTTTACAAAATTGAATACATTTTTAATACATTTGAATAAAGGGCTAAGATGTCAGTTTTCTTAAAAAACTGACCAGCCACTGATAGCCATCACTTTTGGCCTCTATTATACCTACAGTAGCTAGTGAGATTCTATTCTGATTAATTAATTTAATTTAATTGAGTTTCAGATTATTTCTATTGCTTTATTGGCATTACAGAAGTATAGAAATAAGGCTAGCACTTTATTTTACAGCCCTGTTCCACATGCATGTACTATGCGCTTATTATAACAATTAGAATAACTGGGTAATAACTAGGTACTAACCCTGAACCTACCCCTAAACCTAACATTAACCCATGTAGTTGCCATAAACTTCCAAGTACTTTCTTGGGGAAGTACACTATAAGTACACATACTGTAAAAACAAAAGTGTAACCGAAATATGTTATCAAAGCATAGACAAGGTGATGATGCCTCCCCTTGATTTTCAGAATGCAGTTCTGTGGACTGGGTTTGCGTTTAACTAGTTTGGGAAATAAAATGAAGGCACTTTTTGCAACAAGTTTCCATGTTGTTTTACTGGTCCCTGCAGACCAAACATCTGCTTCCGCTTATCATGGAAAATGCACCAAGGTGGCTTTATTGGATATGCTAAAATTGTAAAACATTTTTATTTTGCTGTTCATTCATAAACCACTGGACCAACTGTTACTTTCATATTCAACCTCTCAGGAGGCTATTTAAATGATTACTACCATTAGTCTGTTTAGAAAAAAAAAATAATAAAGACACAATGGCCCCATGAAGTATCTGAGCAATTGGTAACACTTATTGTTGGTTCATGATACCTTCTATTACCGAACTGAACCTTATTGGAAATTGTTACCAGACAATTAAACATTTATACACTTAAATTTGATTAATGCCATTGCATTCGGTGACAAAATAGCAAACATATAATATCAAACATATATAAATAAAAAAAAATGAACAATAAACAAATGACAACCCCCTATGCTATTTTTTTGTGTGTGTACTTACCAGACTTTTGACAGACGCAAAACACAAAAAACTAAAATGTATGTATGTACAGAGGTATATAAGAACTTTAGTAATTAGAGCTAAAATGTGGCAACTATAAAAAAATTTGTCATATGAAATTATGGGCTGGTGGTAGTGCTTGAGACTTTATTGGTTATTCAGTCTAATAAAATAAATTAATTGATAAAAATACTGAACTCTGACAGACTGCTGAGTTCCTGTATATTAATCTGGTCCTCTGCTTTCGCTTGAACTGATTTGCAGAAATTAAAAGTTGGACTGTGATAGGCAAGCACTTGCCATCAGGATTGCCGTTTGTGTATTAGTACCACCCATTTCTGATAGGAACCACCTGTCGCTTCTGCTTAGTAAAGGATTAAAGGCTTTATTTTATATGACAGACTAAAATAATGAGTAATTCCAAACACATTCAGTCATTTTACAGGAATAAACAAGAAAGTAAGAATCTCTTGCTGTTACAGAGGAGGCTCCCTTACCGCCTCCTCCGCACCACCAGAAGGCTTCCTACTCCAGTGCTTGCTATTTGTTAACCAACAGCCCTCGCTGTACCCCACAGATTCTAGCCGCATTGCATTCGTTTGCTCATTACTCACTGGGAAGGCACTGGAGTGGGTCACCGCTGTCTGGAGGATGGATGGTTCGTCATTTCCCACCTTCAATGCATTCCTGTAACATTTTCGCGATGTTTTCGAACATCCGGCCGAGGGGATGAGTGCGGGCGATCAACTCTTAACTCTCTCGCAGGGGAGAAAGACAGCTGCCGAGTACGCTCTGTCCTTTCGAACCCTCGCGGCTCAGACTACATGGGTCAAGGACACGCTTAAGCTCTTGTTTCGGAGGGGATTGAATTTAGAGCTTCAATCAGAGCTGGCCTGCCGGGATGAGGGAAAGAGTTTGAGTGAGTTCATTGAACTCGCTATCCAGATTGACAATCTGATCCTTACATGCCATGATCATTGTCTCTCAAAGATTCCTGGAGCTTCCAGTCATGCACCTTCCCCACCTGGTCAGAGCACAGATGATCTGAACCTGCCCCCAGAATACTCTGATCTCACCGAGGCGTTCAGTAAAAAGAAAGCATCTCAGCTTCCCACTCACCGATCTGTCGACTGTGCCATAGACGTAACGCCCGGTGCCAATCCTCCGTAAGGTAGAATTTTCCCGTTGTCACAACCAGAATCCGAGGCCATGAAACGCTACATCGAGGAGGAATTAGCTAAAGGATTCATCCGACCCTCAACCTCTCCCGCTACATTCCATGTGTCACTTCTGAAACCCGCTGGTTGTCCGAGAGGAGAGACGGAGGAGGGGGCCGGACCACAGATCCCCCTGCCCTTCCTGGTTGATGGCGAGGAGGCGTATCGAGTGCACAAGTTGCTAGACTCCAGACGCCGGGGCGGCACCCTCCAGTATCTGGTCAATTGGGAGGGGTTCGGTCCGGAGGAGAGATCTTGGATCAGAGCTGGAGATATCCTGGACCCCACTCTCACTGAATAGTTTCACAGGACGCATCCAGAGAAACCGGCCCCTCTACCTCGTGGAAGACCCCTGCTTCCTCGCGTCAGGAGCCGCTCGCAGGGGGAGGGCTCTGTTACAGAGGAGGCTCCCGTACCGCCTCCTCCGCACCACCAGAGGGAACTGTCCCGTGGGAGACCCCGGCGTCGTGTGCTTCCTCGCGTCGGGAGCCGCTCGCAGGGGGGGGGCTCTGTTACAGGGGAGGCTCCCTTACCGCCTCCTCCGCACCACTAGAGGGAACCATCTCCCGAATATTAGACATTCCCATTCGGACTCCAAATCCCATCACCCCTCATGCCTGGGACTGATTAATCATCCACACCTGCACCTCATATACACACACACACATATAAACCACTCATACACACAGACTCTCTGCGAAGTCTTGATTTGCCCTGGCTGTCATTTCCGAGCTTTATACCCGTGTTTGATTTTCTGTGCATCTGTTATTGGATTGTTTCCCCTGGACTCTGATTGCTTGCCGCCTGCCCCGATCTCTCGCCTGGTACTCGACTCTGTCTCAGCCTTGTCTCTGCTGTTCTACCTTGCCAGTATTTGACCTTGTATTGTCTGACTATTCTAATAAAAGCTGCAAATGGATCCACACGCTTCTGACTCGTCACAACACTTGCTTTCTGTCTGTTTGCATATGTGTGAGAGAAAGCAACAGAAAACATGCTCTCAGCTAAGTGACGGTGAGTCAAGCATGTGAAAGCATGAGAGAATTCTGAAAATCTTTTGATATCAGTGGGAATAATGTGCTGTCAAGACAAAGAGGGAAACCACCCAAAAATATTTACATTTAGAATGAATCTTTTCACGCCTTCTTAAATGAGCTCATGCATTCTTTCTTGTCAAACTCCCAGTCAGTATTCAAGTGCAGTGATTCCCAAACCTTTTCCTGGACCTCCACAACACTGCACATTTTTCATGTCTCCTTCATCTAATACACCCATTTCAGGTCTTGGAGTCTCTGCTAATGATCTGATGACCTGAATCGGGTGTGTATGATTATGAAGATGCAAAATGTGCAGTTTTGGAGGGCTCCAGGAACATGGTTGGGAAAGCAGTCATAGGACACAACACACACTGAAAATATATCTGTGCTTAACTGATTGTTAGTCACAAACTCAATCACTGCTGACTAAACTCTAAAAATGTATTAGCCAATGGCTAATGTCAGACATTGTTTGGTCTAAATTTAGTGATTTACTCACAGATGTAGAGGGTTGAATGAGACTAGAGCTTTTCTTTGAACTTCTTGTACTAGGTTAATACATTTTGATACTTGTTGTTTAATGCAATTGTATTCATATATTTTTAACAGTGTCTTAAATGTCCAAATACATTTTGGGGCCGCTCTACTATATATGTTATATCTTCACTCTGTGGATAATGTTCGAGGACCTGCTCAGAAAGTGCCTGCCAATAACAATTTACAGCATCAACATTTGCGGTACTGTCATCTAAACATTGTACTTGGCAATAGTTGTCTAAAACATTTATGCATTGATTCTTCTTTTGCTTCAGTAAGACTATGTTCAGAGTTCACTGCCGAATCCTGGCAGATGAAATCAAGACCGCTGTTTCTCAGTTCCCTTTCAAGGGAACTCACACTGAGTCCTCTAGTGGTCACTATGTGGAATGATGTCAATGTGACCGGTGTCTGAAGCACATCTAAACATGACAATAACATTGGCCGGCGACTGCCTATGATATCACCACTGGTGCGACCATAGTATAAAAGGGCACTGGAAGAGCATGTCATCTTCTTCGTCTTCAGGAGACCATTTGTTTGTGTACGTGCTAAGACCATGACTACTATGAAACACCCAGCCAAGCGTTTCGAGTTGTTTTACACCTGGGGACACACGACTGTGTTTGTGTGTGTTTGGGTGGGAAGCACGCACGTTCAGTTCTCGAGGGAGCTGAATGTGCTCGTGAGAATTATCAGTGAAAAGCTGGATGGAGTGCGTTCTACTCACGAGGAAGCTGGATGTGCTCATTCTTTTATGTGTTCATGGTACTGACTGAAAGAGAAGGTAAGAAGCTTATTCTTCTTTCATTATCACCTGAGGGATAGTAGTCAGCATTTGCATGAGCACGTTCGGCTCTCGAGGGGCTTGAACATACTCATAACGATGCATTCATGTCAGATTCTGTTCTTGCATGATTTTGAGAATCTAGCCTTTGAATGGAGCATGTTCGGCTCTTGAGGGAGTTGAATGCATGCTGTGTGATGTGGTCACAGTGAGTAGCTCCGCTTATGCTTGAACCTCTCTTGAGGGATGAGAGTTGAGCACCTATCTCCCATGTCTCGCTGCTAGACATGATTGATCGTGGGGATTGTAGGCGGAGCATGGAAGTAATCTGATGGAGAGTGCTTTCCCTTTCAGAACTCCTCCTGTACTTTTTCTAATTCTTAGATATTGAATTGAGTAATGTGGAACATACAATTCTGAGGTTTTAGATGCAGAGAGAGTAGGGGCATTCATTTTTGATAGTCTGTCCCCTCGAGCTCGGTCAGGCAGTGGTGCCAAGTTGTTAGGCTCTCTGTGAGTCTCCTTGGCTAGCTGCCTTTACACAGGAGTGTCGTTAGGCTTCTGCTCACTATAGAGAGTTTTTCTGCTGAGGCCTCCACTTCTTAGAGCTCCACCTGTATAGCAGTTTCGAGTTGTTTAGGCTCTCTGTGATCCTCCTTGGGGAAACTTGAGCTTTGTCAACCTTGCAATGAGTTAAGTGTTGTTAGGCCTCGTCTCAGTCTGCGAGCTGTTCGGCCTCCACTTTCTGTGTTTAGCCCGTTCTGGCTTTCAATTGGCGCTTTTCCACTACGTGGTACGATTCGGCACTGCACAGCACGGCTCTGCTCAGCTCGCTTCGCTTTTCCACTGCGTGGTATTGCTTGGCTCGGTACGGCACAGCTCGCTTGCTTTTCCACTGCAGTTAGTACCGCTTCAAAGTGGGTGGGAATATAGACTAGTTGCGCCGCCTCTACTGCCGTGACATCATTGTAAACGTGAGACAAAAAAAATAATACGAAAATTAAAAAGGCGATACAAACATGCTACACAGGGGCCATTCTTTTTTTTTTCATTTTTAATTTTCACGTTTTTTAAAGCAAGTCATTTAAGTCATGTAAACGATACTGTAGTGCCTGTTACTGCTAGCGGGTTTGGTGTCTCGTGTTGCAAATCCAATGACGCCTGGTAATGACGATTCTCTCTGACCAATCAGTGATCTGGAGTGTTAACACGTCACATTTTAGTATTGGCACGTCTCGCTTGGAACCTCAACCGAGGTGGTACTATTTAATCAAGCCATACAGAGCCGTACTGAGCCGTACCATGCAGTGGAAAAGTGCCAGAAAGTGAGCCATGCAGTGGAAAAGCGCCAAAGCAAGCCGTACCATAGATTAGCTAGCCGTAGATTTGGTTCTTAGTGCTTGCTTTTTAGCAATTCTGGCATACATTCCCCTCAGCATGCCAGAGTGGGTATTTTGTTCCCTATAGCAACCGCTAGAGGACGCAGTTTGAATTGCCTTGAAAGGGAATGTCTCAGGTCACACATGTAACCATGGTTCCCTGAGATGGAATGAGACACAGTGTCCCCTCGCCATGCCTCTGGGATGCCTGCTTCATCTCCTTCAGACGAAAAAGTTGATGACGTGCTCTTCCAGTGTCCTTTTAGGCTATGGTTGCACCGGTGGTGACTTAAGAGGCTGTCGCCGGCCAATGTAATTGTCATGTTTAGACATGTTTCAGACACCGGTCACGCTGATGGCATTCCCATAGCAACTGTTAGAGGAAGCAATGTCTCGTTCCCTCTCAGGGAACTTTTATTTATCAACTTCAAGATTTGATGTTAACATTTTTGTAGGTTAATATTTTTACAATTGTTAAAATGGTAGAGAGAAGCCAACCGTGCTCCTAGGGGAATACCTTCTTTCAGACTTCAGCTCCAACATGCCTGTCGGTTTTTTTTTTTTTAAGTAATCCTGAGCACCTTGACTCGCTTGTTTGGGTGCGTTTGAGTTGGGTTGAGCTGAACTTTACAGGATGGCAGCCCTCCAGGAGCAATGATTGACTTCCTTTTTTAAATGGTCTTGTGGTGTGACAAAATAATTTTTATTGATTTTCTTTTTCTTTTTCTTCTTCTTATTCCACACAACAGGGTGTGTAACTTTCCAGGTATTTCATGTCAACTACTATAACATTTGCAGAAATGGCCTTAACAACAGTAATTGTTCATGTCATAGCATTGCATATGGTCCTTATGAGATATGAGAATTATTTTTATTTGTGATTCAACACAGTATAACACACTTCTTACAACAAGTAGCATAGTAAATATATATTAATATATAACATAATACACAATTTTGCAAGCTTTGTGAACAATGCATTGCTAGGCCTGATTCAAATAAACTGTTGGTTGCTGAAGTCTGCTTGTCCACTGTCCTGAGCATTTTTTAAAAGGCTCATTGCTGATTATTGTGTTTTGTGATACAAAAATAGAAAGCAGAGCTTAAACTCCTGGAAAACTCTGAAGTGGAGCAAATGTTTTTTGCATATGTAGCATCTGGACCAATCAGACACACATCTGTTCATTAAATTTAACAAATCAATTATTCATTAGATTAACAAATAACAAAGGTGGAAAGAGTACGAAAATATTCTACTCAAGTAAAAGTACCATTACATTAATAAAATGTCACTTAAGTTCAAGTAAAAGTACCAGTCTAAAAATCTACTCGAGTAAAAGTAAAAAGTAGCTCGTTTAAAATGTACTCAGAGTAAAAAAAAGAGGGAGGCAAAAATGGGATAGGCCAAGGGTGTCAAACTCAGTTCCTGGAGGGCCACAGCCCTGCACAGTTTAGATATAACACTAATTAAACACATCTGATCCAGCTAATCTAATCATTTAGGCTTATTTGAAAACTACATGGTGCGTGTTGGAGCAGGCTTGGAACTAAACTCTGCAGGGCTGCGGCCCTCCATGAACTGAGTTTGACACCCCTGGGATAGGCCTATAAATCTCAAACTAGTTGTTTTTAATTAAAGAAAAATACTCTGTATAGACAATTTATTAAATTAAGGACAAAAGAATGTGAAAACAGATATAAATCATATAAAAATAAATTGACTAATATAATAAGAACTAGTAAGAAATTATACTATAAAAATGTATTAAATGAAAACAAAAATAATATTAAAGGGGTATGGGGTATACTAAATAGTTTAATTAAAGATAAAACAAATAAGAATCCATATCCAGATTATTTTATTGATATGAATGGTGAAAACTTTAATATGCATAATATAGTAAATAGTTTCAATGAATTTTTTGTAAATGTTGGACCAGATTTAGCAGCAATAATTCCTGAGTATGGAAGTAATAAATTGAATGAGTCATTTATAGAAAGGAATGCGAAGACCATCTTTCTCTCTGATGTGAGTGAGACAAAGATTAAAACTATTGTTAATAAATGCAAAAATAAAACATCTACTGATTGTTATGACATAGATATGACACTAATTAAAAAAGTAATAAATAGTACATATGCAATGAACAATTTCAGACTGGAATATTTCCAAAGAAAATGAAAATTGCAAAAGTAATACCAATGTATAAAAATGGAAACAAGCACATCTTCACAAACTATAGACTTGTCTCTCTGCTACCTCAATTTTCAAAAATTTTAGAGAAATGATTTAACGATAGATTAGAAAAATGTATAGATAAATATGATATAATAAATGAAAGTCAGTATGGTTTTAGAGCAAAGAGGTCAACATCAATGGCCATAATTGAAGCTGTGGAGGAAATCACAAACACCCTAGACAGAAAAAAATATGCAGTTGGAATATTTATTGATTTAAGGTAAGCCTTTGATACACTCAATCATTCAATCTTACTCGATAAACTGGAAAAATATGGCATTAGGGGAGTGGCTTTGAACTGGATCAAAAGTTATTTAACTGAAAGACAACAGTTTGTGAAGTTGGGCGGGTTTACGTCACAGTGTCTGGGCATTGCTTCTGGGGTCCCCCAAGGATCAGTATTGGGTCCTAAGTTATTTCATTTATATATAAATGACATATTCCATGTATCTAAATTATTGAAACTGATATTATTTGCTGATGATACTAATATATTCTATTCTAGTGATAATTATAATACACTTATAAATATAGTAAATAAAGAATTAGTCAAATTAAAACATGGATGGATGTTAATAAATTATCTCTGAATTTAAATAAAACTAAAGTAATGATGTTTGGCAATTATAAAGAAAACTCAGAAGTATTAATAAATATAGATGGTGTTGCAATAGAAAAAGTGTCAGAAATTAAATTCTTAGGGATAACTATTGACAGTAAATTAAGCTGGAAAACACACATCAGATACATACAAGGTAAATTATCCAAAAGTATCTATATAATTAATTATGCCCTGGAATATAATGCATTATATATATTGTATTGTTCATTAGTTTTGCCCTACTTATTGTATAGAAGTTTGGGGCAATAACTATAAAATTCACTACATCCCCTCTTCATACTTCAGAAACGTGCAGTTAGAATCATACATAAGGTGAGATATTTTGATCACACAAATATATTATTTCTGCAATCCAGACTATTAAAACTTTTTGATTTAGCTGATTTTTATACTGCACAACTCTTGTATAAAGCCAACAAAAATGAACTACCGGGCAATATTCAAAAGTTATTTACAGGAAGAGAGGGGGCCTATAATCTGAGGGGATGTGGGAACCTTAAAGTCCAGGTGGTGAGAACCACCAGGAAAAGTTTGTGTGTGTCTGTGTGTGGTGTCAAACTTTGGAATGGTTTGGGGACACAGCTCAAGCAATGCCCAAATATTTACCTATTTAAATCAAGATACAAAGAAATGGTGTTGAAAAAATATAAGGCTGAGGGAGAGATCTTGGTGTTCTAAGGATTGTGATTATGGGGTGATGGTTATTGTATAAAAAAACGGTAGTAGGGATGATCATAATTGTTCTTACTATTAATATTGATACACCCAATCGAATTACATATGCAAAATACCATGCTTTGAGACAAAGAGTCGTAAACTTTCCCTCTCTCGTAAACTGTCCCAAGACACCATTGGCTCTTTGAAATCCTAGAGGAGTGACCTCGATAGACGATAAAGGCCTCACATCAGTGACCCGCCTTCAGTCTGCGGTCCTGCTCGATTCTGAGAAGATGGGGATGCTGAGCTAGTCTTCTAAGGACACCCTAATCAGAACATCTTTGGAATTCATCACTCTTCAAACCTGGAAGAACGTGATCGCAAGTCCAAAACCTTGAAACCATCAAGACTTTCATCCGAGACTGCATCCGGACACTCGTCAATGACCAAGGCAATGAAAGTATCGTACATTTAACTAAACAAAACAGAGGTTTAGTATAAGCAATAGACCCCGTTATAAACAGCGCTGATGGTTTTACTCAGGTGGTTAACTGACTCTTTTCATAGCTTCATTCTCTGGTTTTCCTGATGGTTTCATCCATCAAGTCTCATTTGCCCTTGCCCCATGTATCAATGATTGTATGTTTGTTTGTTTAGATTAGTTATGTGTGTTAGAGTTTAGTTAATACAACTTTTGTGGACAAATTACATGAGTTTCTGATCCTGCTTGTGAATAATGTCCCTTTACGATTTTGATCCTTGCTACATGCTCTAATGCATTATTAGGCTACTGTAAGAAGGTTGTTTTCTGTGGCCACGAAAATATCCTTTCTTAGAGTTGATATGAAATTACACTAAATGTTCACTGGACGAACAGATTAGTTGATGGCAATTTAATTCTGCTACAGTTACTACTGGCAGCTCATATAAATAATTGTAATTAATCATAATTAATTGTAATTATTTATATACATTTCCCTTTTGAGCTAATTTGCTACACAGATTACATGGGAGCACACATACTGTACATCATGAAGGCAAGGCAAGGCAAGTTTATTTATATAGCACATTTCGTACACAATGGTAATTCTAAGTGCTTTACATAAAATAAAGTAAAATAATCAGAAATAAAACAAGGAATTTAAAAACGTTGAAAATGATTTAAAAATTGATTTAAGAGGTTTAAAATTAATTTTAAAAAGTTAAGAATAGAAAATGATTATACATAAAATATAGTGCAATCAGTTCGGACATTGCACAGTGCTCATTCAATAAATATCAGAAATAAAACAAGGAATTTAAAAACGTTGAAAATGATTTAAAAATTGATTTAAAATGAATTTAAGACAGTTTAGACATGTCTAAACATAGATATATACATAAAATCCAGTGCAATCATTTCGGGTTGCATAAAATACAGTGCAATAAAAAAAAATAGTGCAATCAGTTCGGCCATCGCACAGTGCTCATTCAATAAATGCACAGCTAAACAGATGAGTTTTGAGTCTGCATTTAAATATGACTAATGTTTTAGCACATCTAATCTCTTCTGGAAGCTGATTCCAACTGCGGGCGGCAAAATAGCTAAAAGCGGATTCCCCTTGTTTTGTGTGTTTTGTGGTATTTCTAACTGACTCGATCCTAATGATCTGAGTAGTCTGTTACGTTTATATTCAGTGAGCATATCTGCAATGTATTTAGGTCCTAGGCCATTGAGTGATTTGTAAACGAGTAAAAGTACTTTACAATCAATCCTAAATGTAACTGGAAGCCAGTGTAAGGACCTGAGGACTGGTGTGATATGCTCAGATTTTCTGGTTCTAGTCAGAATCCTGACAGCAGCGTTCTGGATGAGCTGCAGCTGTCTAATGGTCCTCTTGGGAAGACCGGTGAGAAGACCATTACAATAGTCTACCCTGCTGGTAATAAAGGCATGAACAAGTTTCTCCAAATCTTGACTGGAAACAAAACATCTAATTCTTGCAATGTTTTTGAGATAATAATATGCTGATTTAGTTACAGCTTTTACATGACTACCGAAACTAAGGTCTGTCTTCAGAATCACACCAAGATTCTTGACTTGATTTTTAGTTGTTTGACCCCTAGAGTCAAGGTATGCATTCACCTTGAGAACTTCATCTTTGTTTTTTCTTTAGGCTTGATGACTTCAGCTTTTTCCTTGTTTAACTGAAGAAAGTTCTGGCACATCCAACTGTTAATTTCATCAATGCATTGGCAGAGGGAGTCAATGGGGCTGTAGTCATTTGGAGATAAAGC